TTCCTCTTTTTTCTGCATATGAATGTTCCAGAAATTCATCCATGGATACAAAGGGCAATACATATGAGCTCAAGACTCATTGCTGTCCTAATGTCCTCAGCTGTTCTGGCCCAGGTACAGCTTCATGAAGGGAACAAAACCCCTGATCTTCTGTTTACACCTTATTACGAATGAGAACTGCTAGAACTGGAACCAACTGCCACTAGGGGAGACGATGATGTTCAGAGCATCATGGATGATAATGTAGAAGCAACTTATATTCAGAAGTTGAAACATCACTCATCTCCCGATAAACAAGAGCCATTTCTCACTGCAGCTGAAACCTGAAACCACACTCTTTGCTGGGAAATGTTACTGCTGAACTCTGTACTGAGTAACTTCCGTGTAAATGGTGGGAACTCTACCTGCAGGTGAGGTCAGGACCAATAGAGGGCACAGTGGGACCAAGAATCCCCAGCAGAGAGATGTGAGCATATGTATTTGGGGGACTCTGTATCTTCTGTGGTTTCCTTTCTTAACTTACATGTACTTATTGTGGTTGACATGTAACATTTTCATGCCCAAAGTGTGAAGATTCTGTGTTAAACACTTCAAAGATTTATGTTTCCTTGATAATATGTACCTATATCATCTATATCTATATCTATCTCTATCTCTATCTCTATCTCTATCTCTATCTCATCTCTATCTCTATCTCTATCTCTATCTATATCTATATCTATATCTATAACTTTACCTATACCTATCTCTCTGTCTCTCTTTCTCTGTCTCTGTCTCTGTCTCTCTCTCTCTCTCTTTCATCTATACCTGTACTTGTACTTATCTCTAATCTATACCTTTACCTATATCTATACATATACCATCTATATCTAACCATATCCTCTATATCTATCTATCTATCTATCTATCTATCTATCTATCTATCTATCTATCTATCATCTATATCATCTATATCTGTATGTTCTTTATGCAATTTTCTGTTGACAGATACATTTCTGTTGACCGTATATTTCCATAATTTGTTTATTGTGATGAAGCTGCAATAATCATTCATGTACAAAAGGTTCTGAGGTATATTTACTTTTGGTCATTTAGGTGACTTTTTTAGTCTATAACATGTTGGAAGCACAAATGTTAATTGTATATATGTAAAGAAGAGTGCAAATTTTAATAGCTTAGCTGTTTTCAAAATTTGCCATGTCTGTTGCCATCCTTGTAACTACCTTAAATCCATCTATTAACTGTCACAATTGGGGAAACTGTCTCATACTTCAAATCTATTTAGCGCATAGTCCCTGATTGTAGCGAACAGTTCTGCTGTTCCAGTCCGCGGGTCAGGAAGCAAGAGAGAGAGTGGGGACTGGGATGTGAAGAATGGAGACAAGACTTGAAGTCTGGTCAAAGACGAAGTCTGCCTACTAGAGACAAAGTCTGAGTCAGTCTGTCTCTCTGTTGAGTCTGAGTCTGTCTAGTCTGATTAGTCTGACTGCCTCTCTGCCTCTGACTGCCTCTCCTTTTATATCTCTCCTGAATCTCTCAAGTGTTGAGATTAAAGGTGTGTGCTACCACTGCCTGGTCTTGACTGAAATAAACAAGATAATTATCAGAGTGTGCTCAGCTGTTGTACACAAGTCTCTTGTAAGGGTATATGGCTCAAGATGGCTACAAAGATGATAGCCGCGTTCGGCTCAGAGTCAGCTCCCAACACCTGATGCTATATTCACAGTCTCAGCACAAGTCTCAGGGATGAGATATGTTGCATTTCCTCAGATAGGATTAAGGGCATGTGCTTCAGCATTCTGATTCCTGACCCAGGTGTCCCTTCTTCTCCAGCAGGAGTGGGTCCTTATCTAAGATGTTGTCTGCTCATGAATATGCAAATCATGAGAATCTAGGGTAGTAAATATAGGGATGTCTAAACACACAAAACCATAAGATCACTGTCTTCTGCCGATGCCCCCATGATTGTGATGGGTGTGAACCACGAGAAATTTGACAACTCTCTCAAGATTGTCAGCAATGCATCCTCCACTACCAACTGCTTAGCGCCCCTAGCCAATGTCATCCATGACAACTTTGGCATCATGGAAGGGCTCATGACCACGGTCCATGCCATCACTGCCACTCAGAAGACTCTGGATGGTCCCTCTGGAAAGTTGTAGTGTGATGGCCATGGGGCTGCAACAGAACATCATCTCTGCATCCAGTGGTGCTGCCAAGGCTGTGGGCAAGGTCATCCCAGAGCTGAAGGGGAAGCTCTCTGGCATGGCCTTCTGTGTTCCTACCAACAATGTATTCGTTGTGGATCTGACATGCTGCCTGGAGAAAGCTGCCAAGTATGATGAAATCAAGAAGGTGGTGAAGCAGGCATCTGAGTGCCCACTGAAGGGCACCCTGGGCTACACTCAGGATCAGGTTGTCTCCTACAACTTCAACAGGAACTCTCATTCTTCCACCTTTGATGCTTGGGATGGCATTACTCTCAATGACAACTTCGCTAAGCTCATTTTCTTGTATGGCAATGAATAAGGTTACAGCAACAGGGTCATGAACCTCATGGCATATATGGCCTCCAAGAAGTAAGAAACCCTGGACCACCCACCCCAGCAAGGACACTGAGAGCAAGAGAGAGGCTTTCCATTGCTGAGGAGTCCCTGTCCCAACTCAATCCCCAACACTGAGCATCTCCCTCACAATTTCCATCCTAGACCCCATAATAACAGGAGGGGCCTAGGGACCCCCCTACTCTCTTAAATACCATCAATAAAAGTTCGCTGCACCCCTTCACAAAAAAATAATAATTTCCATGATCTTTCCAATTCCAGGTGTACAATGAAGCTTAATGTATGACAATGTAGAAATTGTTTTTACAAAGTTTTTTTTTTGACTGTGAGTGTAAGTTATATATCTAAAAGGCCTATAATCTAATATGGCCTCTAACATAAAGGTTCACAAGCTATAAAGTGTATGTGACATCTTCTGTAAAGTTTCATAATGGTCTATAGAGGGAGAAGTCTGGGATAATTATTCTGGGGAAATAAGGTTAGGTCTTTCCATACAGGTTGCAAAGAGGTCACCAGATTGTTAAAAACCTCTGTTCTCACCTTTCTGGATAGAGTGCTAGTATTTGATTTTATCTTTTCCAATGAGGAGATACCCCTATGATTAAAATTCCTGGTTCTCTTTGTGTTCCTCTGTGAGTACAAGGCTCTCCTATCCTCTATAATTACTATGTCAGTGTCATCAGTAATATTGCTAAAAATTACTTGCCATGGGTCAGTGAAAGTAAAAGTTCTAAATAAATTAGTTGTTGAGAGTCTGAAGAGCAGGTGTAGAGAGGGCTGTTTCCTGACTCTACACAGTGTTTATTCTTCTCAGTTTACCACATACAAAACCCAAGAAATTCCTATCTCTTATGTCAATTAATCCTTGCTTTGAATGACACAAGAGCTGAAGGAGATCACCTCAGTATCGTCTGTGGTTTCCTTTCTTAACTTACATGTACTTATTGTGATTGATGTGTAACATTTTCATGCCCAAACTGTGGAGATTCTGTGTTAAACACCTCACAGAGTTACATTTACTTGTTTTTATTTGCTTTTTATAATTTTTGAAAAATTCATACAATGTATTCTAATAACTCATTCCAACCTTCTTATTCCAGATCCTTCCTATGTACCAACTCACCAATTACGCACCTTTTTTTCTCTCTGATAAAACAAAAAAAGAAAGAAATTTAAAATGGGATTAAAAGCAAACTAAACTAAACAACATGAAAGCAAGACACACACCCAGACACAGGCACACAGAAACCAGTAAAACCAGAACTCTGTAACTATGATACATAAATAAAAGAAAAGTGAGACAAAGTGCACATGGAGGGACCCATGACTCTGGCCACATATGTGCCAGAGGATGGCCTTGTTGGCATCAGTGGGAGGAAAGGCCCTTGGGCCTGAGTGTGTTCAGTGCCCTAGTGTGGCAGAATGCCAGGCTGGGAATCTGGGAGTGGGTAGGTAGGTTGGTGGGGGAGCACCCTCACAGAGGCAAGTAGAAGAGGGATGGAATGGGGGTTTCCAAAGGGGCGACCTGGATGGGGAAAACATTTGAAATGTAGATAGAAAAAAATCCAATAATTGTTTTTTTTAAAAAAAGAGAGTCTTATTTAATGTATTTAACTTTGAGATTGTCTTAATTAACACTGGAATATCTAACTGCATCTAGTTTTGCTAAAGCATTGTAAATTTCTCATTCATTTTTGGTAAAAACTTTGTTGATATATATATATGGATCAATAGATAGAGAGATATAGAGAGATATAGATATAGAGATAGAGATATATGTATTACATAACCATGCCTTAGTGATCAAATCCTTTGTTGATCTATCTATGCCGTATATCTATAATTTAGTTATTCATGATAGTGCTGCAATAATCATTGATATGTAAATATTTTAAACACATTTACTTTTAATCGTTCAGTGAGAGTCATTATATAACCTGTTTGAAAGGCAAATGTTAATTGCATAAATGTGAAAGAAGTCTCTAAATTCTCAAAGGTTAGCTAGTTTTGGAATTTTCCACCATCATCATTACCATCATCATCATTATGATCATCGTTATCATCACAAGCCTCAGGTGTAAATCCATGTCTTAAAAATCTCCCCAAATGGAGCAACAGACTCAGGTCAAAAATCTTTTGAGAGCTTAGTCCCTGAAGTTATATCCACAACATCTGCTCAGTGATCAGGGAAGGTATATAGGATGTCTTTCCTCAGAGAATATTAGGACTCTGACCTGAGCATCCTGTTGCCTAACCCATGTACCATTTCATTCCTTTCCCTCTAGTTCTCCAGCTGGACTAGGTCCTTTTTTAAGAAGTCCCCTGTTCATGAATATGCAAATTATTTGAGTCTATGGCAGTAAATACATGGATGTCCACACCCTGAAAACATTTTATGATCAGTGTCTTCTCCACAGTCCCTGAACACACCGACTGATCATGGAATGGAGCTGGACCTTCCTCTTCCTCCTGTCAGTAACTGCAGGTAAGGGGATCACCATTTCCAAATATAAAGAGGAGACAGGGACTGAGATGACACAGCCATCCACTTTGCTTTTCTCTCCACAGGGGTCCACACCCAGGTTCAACTGCAGCAGTCTGGAGCTGAGCTGGTAAAGTCTGGGGCTTCAGTGAAGATATTTTGCAAGGCTTCTGGCTATGACTTCACCAGCTATGAAATGAGCTGGGTAAAGCAGACACCCACACATGGCCTGGAATGGATTGGAGCTATTAATCCTGCAACTGGTGGTACTGGTTACAATCAGAAGTTCAAGGGCAAGGCCACCTTGACTGCAGACAAATCCTCCAACACAGCCTACATGGAGCTCAGAAGCCTGACATCTGAGGACTCTGCTGTCTATTACTGTACTAGACACAGTGTTTTAACCACATCCTGAGTGTGTCAGAAAACCTGTAGGAGCAGGACGATGCCCTGAGACTGAAATGACAGAAAAGCCTAACCTTTAGACTTGCTCAGAAATCATAATTTTGAATGTTCCTATATTGCGTCCTCCTAACAGTACTATAGTGTCTTTGTCATCTTAGTAAAAGAACTTCTAAGAATAAAGTGATGCTGACTTAGGATAAATATACAGTGCACAGTACCCTGCCAATCTCTACACCAGTGACCACCTCCATTGACATGTTTCTTACTCAACAAAACAATCAAAAGGGAAAAGTCTCAAGATGAATAGTAAGAATATCAAATGATTCAGAGAGATCAGAAGCTTGATGAAACTGTTGGGAATAAGGTATAATATGAATTTGATCTATAAAATCCAAATCACCAACATCTGGGCAAACAAACACTCCCTCCATAGTCTTAAGTATTATCTGACTGCAGGTGTGTTGATAATTCTGGCTGTGTGTTCGAGCAGAAGATCCAGTCTCTTAGAATGTGAGAAATATTTATATCAGAATTCATAGGCATGTAAATATATTACCTGGAGGTTGATCAAAATATTATTAAGTCACTTTTCATAGAACTCATTTACCAACATAACATATGATCCTGTTAACTGAGGTAGGTTCTGAGATTATACATAGATGTTTGATCCCTTATTTACTTCCTTTCTGGACTCAGTAATCATGTCTACAGTCACTAGCCTTTTTAGAACATGGGCCTATACTGATACAGCATCAACTCTCATAGTCCATTGTTTACCTATTGACCAGCTTTGTTTTTACAGAGTATTTGTGAACATGTGTCTCTGCACCCACATATGTTTCTTGTCCTTTGTTTTTAGTGACTTTTCTTCTGTTTTGTCCTATTCCCATTTGTTTGATTTTCCTTCATTTCTCTTTGTTTTTCTATTTCATTATATTTAGTTTCTGTTTGTTTTCTAGTTAGAAACACAATCTAGCCTGGAGAAATTTGTGAGGTGTTGAGGAAGCGAAATCAGTATTCAGAATATACTGCAGGAAGAAATGTATTTTTAATTAAAAAAATAGAAAAAACTTTTAAATAATTAATAAATACATAATTTTGGAAATATCTTTGTTGTGTAAATACCCCATAGGCACAAGTGTGAATTTTTTGGTCTCATGTCTTTTTTAAATTGTTCAAAGTAAATCAGAAGCCAGATCTGAAAAGATGTAAGGATAAAGCATATGTAAAATGAGTAATTCTAAAGTGTAGTGAAATACGTAAGTAGAATATGTGGGTTTAAGCCGCTCTCTCTCTCTCTCTCCTCCTCTCCCTCACCCTCTCTCTGTGTGTGTATTTTTATTAATGAACTTTTCCATTATTAATCTCTAAGTGCTCAGAGCAGTTTAAGCTACTAGGATATCTTTTATTTCTTGATGGAATACCTGCAGATGTCGTAGAGCACGAGAAGGGATGAGAATGCAAACACTGTACAAATTGACTTTGTTAACCTGAATCAGACTTTGGGGAGTCTAAGCACAGACAGTTTATTATAGGTATATTTCAACACAATAGAAGTTGGAAAAGGGTCTCCAGGCAATAATCATTTCCATAATCATTGCAAATCCCGTTGAACAGTAAAGCTTACGGTGTGGCTAGGTAGACCTTATTTTATGAAGTTCTAGTAATCATGAGGGTGGGTTCTTTTGCTAAATTTCAGAGTCTATGTGCTCTCTGACCCACAGCATACAGATCAGGAGGCTATAAATATATGTGACACCTCCCCTAAGGATGGCTTATAGTCTTAACGATGGAAGAGTCTGGGATAATCATTCTGGGTAATTAGTGTGTGTTCTGTCCCTACAGATAGCAAAAGGATCAAGAGGTTGTTAAGAATGTCTCCTCTCAGCTTTCTGAATGGAGTTCAGGTATTTGATTTTATCTCCTTCCTTGAGGAGATGTGTAGTGCGAAATATTTTAAAAGAGTGGCTACTTGCTCCAAGCTCTGCTATCATGTTCCTGCACTAAATTCTGGCACAGACTGGTCACCTCAGTAGAGCCACCTCTAGGCCCATGAGACATTGGCGTGGCTGCTGCCTGAGCCTGACAGCTTTGTGGCCTCCATGGTTCTAGTCATGGCCCCTAAGCAAACTCTGCCAGCTCCATTGAGCTCGGCTTAACACCAGACAATAACTGCCATCCTCCCCTTAGTTATCCCAATACCCAGTACCAAGTAGAAATAAGATTCTTAATGCTTAAAGTTAACCAGTGGATTTATATATCAACAAATACTCAAATCACAAGATGCCCACACAGCTTAGACAAGTTGTCCCATCTATCCTAACATTTTCATATCATCTTTGCCAAAGGGAGGTTAAAGCCATGCTCATTAACTTCAACATCCATCTCTGCTGCATTTCTCCTTCCTCATTTCTCCCTGCATTCCTGTCTCTGTGTCCCTTAGCTCAGATTCACTTTTCCCTATCCAATCATAGGCCTCCCACTGCAAATAGGGCAGGGAAATTTCTGCCACAGAGACATCCCTGCGTGACTAAAATTTCTGGTTCTCTTAATGCTTTTCTATGAGTACAAGGTCCTTATGTCCTCGAGAATCTTTCTGTCAATGTCACCAATAATATTGATAAATATTTGTTTCCATGAGTCAATGAAAAAATCAAAATAGAGTAGTTGTGTAGAACCTGAGGGACAGTGCAGAGAGCTGTGTTTCTTGACTCTATGAAATATGCATTTTTCTCAGCTACCATCTTGAAAGATATGAAACCATCTCCTATATTTGTTAGACCTTGTCTATGAAGACACAAAATCTGTGGCAGATTAATGGTGTTAGTTTCTAAAATCTATGTCATTCTCCTGGAAGTGCTACAGGAATATAAATGACAACATTCAAAGTTCTTCTCAGTCATCATGATGACCGGTTACCTTATAGTCAAATAAACCCCTCAGTTGGAACAATTGAACAATTAGAACAATTTTTTAACTCTAGCAGAACCAGTGAAAGACCTGTATGACAAAAACTTCAAGTCTTTGAACAAAAAATTAAGAATGTATCAAAAGGTGGAAATACCTGCCATGCTCCTGTATTGGTAGGGTTAACATAGTAAAAGTGAACATCCTCCCAAAAAACAATCTACAGAGTCAATGAAAACTTACCAAAATTTCAATACAGTTCTTTACAGATATTGAAAAGACAATGCTCATCTTCATATAGAAAATCTGTAAAATGATGGATAGCTAAAATTGTCCTGTGCAATAAAGAAACATCTGGAGATATCAGCATCCATTGTTTCAAAGTTTATGCAGAGTTTATTACAGAGCTATGGTAATAAAAAAATCAGAGAAATGAAATAAAAACAAGAAAGGTTAATTAATAGAAAATCCAAACACAAATACACATATTTATGGACACCTAGTTTTTGATAAAGAATTCAGAAATACACAATGAAAGAACAAAAGCATCAACAAATGGTGCTGGTCTAACTCTACGTTTATACATAGAAGAATGTAAATGGATCCACATCTGTTCCCATGCACAACACTCAAGACAATTTGGATCAGAAACCTCAATATGAATCGAGATATCTTGAGTCTAAAGGAAAGTATTTGCTGAATTGTTTAGAACTCATGAGCACAGGAGAAAACATCCTGAAGAGAACACACATAGCACAGGTCCTAAGAGCCACAATCAGTAAATGGAACTTAATGAAACTGACAATGTTCTGCAAGGCAAAAAAAAACCAAACATCTATAGGACAAAACAGTAGTCTAGAGAATGGTAAAATATTCTCACCAACTCCTCATTTGACAGAAGGATGATATACAAAATACATACTCAAACCTACATCCAAGTAGATGTCAACAAACCAAATAATCCAATTTAAAATGTGTTTTAGGTCTAAACAGAATTCTTAACAAGGAATTCACTAATGGTAGGGAGTCAGTTAAAGCAGTATTCAACAACCTTCTCCATCAGTGAAGTGCACATCAAAATGAGTCTGGGCTTTCATCTTACAGATATCAGAATGGCTAAGATCAAAATTACAATGGCAGCTTACGCTGGGAAAGATGTGCTCATCATTGCTTGTCAGAGTGCACACTTTTATACCACTCTGGAGCACACATTTATTTTAAAATTACAATTAAGTATTGTTTGTTAATTAATATTGCACATATGGATTTTATTCGTAACTTATGAGCTTTATTGAAGCATCAATTGTATGTCCATTTAAAAGAATGTTACAAAATTTCAAATATGTGGTATCAAACATCCACTTATAATCATTACTATCAACAGTGTGTGTAAATTTATCTGTAAATTCTTCCACTAACAGGAGGGTTTCTTCAGCTGGAAAATCTGACATTGATTTGCAAGCTCAGTTCTTTATGTTCCATTCACAGGGATGAGCCCATGAAGCTCTTCTGGGCAAGTGTTGGTGACCTGATTCCATGGTGTTCTCTAGTTCATGTGCAGTTCTCAGTTCTGGTAATGGAGAGAGGGAGAAGCTGGGCATTTTGAATTGTCTGGCCTTCATTTCATTTTGGTTTTTATCATTCTTTTTTCTGTGCATTATGAAGTTTTTAAATCAAATCTCTAATATCAAGCCATTGTGTGATTTTTCTAACTTGGGATAAGAGATGCAAAGAAAGTAACTTAATTAAAAACTGACCTTGTCGATGTTCAGCATACTGAAGAAGGTGAAAAAATTATGTCCACACACCAATACCATATACTACTTACTGCCCCTTACACATGAATTTAGACAAAGTTTACCACAATGTCCAGGATTCGAAGGCTGCCATTATCTGTTCACAATTTTATACACCTTACCTGGGATTAGTTTCATTCCACTTGACTTACACTCTTTCTTTTTTGCCTTGTAAGATGCTCCTTGAAACCCCATCATATATATACCCATGTCATGACCATCACCAAATCAGTATGTGTTAACCCTCCTGCTCTCCTCTGATGCAAAAGCCTTACAGGTTCCTGTACTAAAGCCTTCTTTAAAGGAT